ACCTGAAGCTAAAGCTGCCTGGAAGTACAGCAAACAAAACAACTTGTGTATAGATTTTCAAACTTGAATTCTCCAAATAAAAACAACACAAACTCATCATCTTGAGGAGGTTCATCAGTCATCACACCACTCTTTCTGCCATGTGTACAGCTGGACATGAAGACAAGTTAACAGTCTAATTCAAACTTTGAAAACGAGCAACAATTCATCATAAAACTCAAGAGTGAACACGTTTGAAAGCTAACATTACCTTAGTCAAGCCTACTCAAGTTTTCTACTCCCTATCATTATTTTGACAGCTTGGTGTGCCTGATTCAGGTCTGAATGAGCACTCTATCCAGGTCTTTTAGATTTAAAGAACACAAGTAGTAGTAAAACCTTCATATCATGATGTAACTATCCATTTATTTTGCTTCACAGAATGTGCTCACACTGTCATCCATATGTCTTTCTGTGCTCTATCATACAAATGTGATTATATTATTTAACCAATAACAAGTTTATAAAACAGATTAAATCCTTATCTTTGCATTTAATCTGACATTGTTAGTAACCTCTGACAGAGGCCAGTCGGACAGTACTTAAACTTTATTGTAATTTAAGTAATCTGCAATTTACCTGTGGTGGTGGTTGTTCACCTGTTGGCAGTTTGGATGTCAGTTCATATTAAGAACAGAGTGAAAGGAGAGGTGTACAGGATGGTGGGGAGAACGGCTGTGATCGTGCACTAACCAAAAGACAAGAGGTAGAGCTGAAGGTGGCAGAGATAAAGATGTTGAGCTATTGTAAAGAGACCACTCAGGTCTGGACCCAAAGTTAGAGAAGTGAGATTGAAATGGTTTGGGCATGTGCAGAGGAGGAATAGTGGACATAGGATGTAAACTATAGATCTGTCATGAAAAAAAAAAAAAAAAAGACCAGAGAAAATTCATGGATGTAATGGTGGGTATGGAGAGGGTTGCTGTTACAAAGGAGGGTGCAAGGGAAGGTGAGAGATGGAGGCAGATTCACTGTGGACACTCCTAAAAGGAGTCAGGCAGCTGAAAGAATGCAGCCAAATAAGACCTTAACTCAAGTAAAGTAAGTAGTTTGTTTTAAAAGGGGTCATCTGGGAAACTGGGAGGATCTGTAGAAGACATGAGGTGGTGTGTATTATCCTTTAGTGTCATTTTGAATTGGTAAATGAACAAATGGTTTTCAGTCGGAAAAAGGTGGATTGTTCTCTTCAGGTCGAGGGTGAGGTTCTGCCTCAAGTGGAGGAGTTCAAGTATCTCTGGGTTTTGTTCACGAGTGAGGGAAGAATGGAGCGTGAGAATGACAGACGGATTGGTGCAGCGTCTGCAGTATTGTGGACTCTGTACCGGTCCGTTGTGGTGAAGGGCGAGGTGAGCAAAAGACTAAGCTCTCTGTTTACCGGTCGGTCTACGTTTCTACCCTTACCTGTGGTCATGAACTCTGGTTAGTGACTGAAAGAATGAAATTGCGGATACAGGCAGTTGAAATGAGTTTCTTCCACAGGGTAGCTGGACTCTCCCGAAGAGCTAGAAGAGGTGACTGTGGAAAGAGATGTCTGGACCTCCCTGATCAAACTGCTGCCCCTGTGAATATGTTATGGCTCTAAAATAACTTGTGTACAGTTCAAACACCCACAAATAATTGTCAATTTGAGACCCATTTAAAAAAGAAAAATTAAATAAAATAATAAAAACATGTGGGCAGCACGGTGGCACAACTGGTAGAGCTGCTGCCTCTCAGTGAGCAGGTCCTTGGTTCAAACCCCGGTCCAGGGTCCTTTCTGGGTGGAGTTTGCATGTTCTCTCCGTGCATGCGTGGGTTTTCTCCGGGTGCTCCGGTTTCCTCCCACAGACCAAAAACATGCATGTTAGGCTGATTGGTAACTCTAAATTGTCCCTAGGTGTGAGTGAGAGAGTGAATGTTTGTTTGTCTCGTTTGTCTCTATGTGTCCCTGTGATGGACTTGCGACCCGTCCAGGGTGTACCCCACCCCTCGCACAGTGATTGCTGGACATGGGCACCAGCGACCCCCGTGACCCAAAATGGAATAAGCGGGTAAAGATAATGGATGGATGGATGGGAACACTATACTGTACTTTATTTGGTGGAATAAGATCAAATATAGAAAATCTTTGAAGGAAATTAATTGAAAATCACCCAACAATACATAATTTACTTTCCAAAAATTCTCCCTCCACCCAACTCAACATTGTTTAGGAATAATGATGCAACCTAAATAGTGTAGCACCAAACTATTCTAATCTTTAAAACTGTAATTGGCTCAGAACTCATTGAACCCTTTTGAGTCAATACAGTGTGAACTGACATCTACTGCTTTGATTGTCATTTGTTATGTGACAGTAGTTTTGAGACAATCTCCGACCCGATGTTATGAAGCACTCTGCTTCATGTAGAGTGACATAAGCTTTAAAGACTCTGTATCATTTGCCCATCAGTACATGAAGTACTTGCTAAGACTGTATATCTGTACCAGTGGCAGAAAACATTCCAGCATCAAAATGGTGATCCAAACAGCTTTAAACGCTCAAGGGGTTCATCAACAGGATAAGGATCAGTTGTAGGTGATTAGCACTGCCCTGCCACTCAGGAAGCTGCAAGAATGTGATTAATGGAAAAACACTGAAATCCCCACAGTCACAACTTAAATGGTGACTTTTACAGAGAAGTTGCATCAGCAGTCTCAGTAGTAAACTACAGATCACTTTCAGGCTTAAGTCTGAACTGCTTGAGTGCACTTTAATAGTCAGAAAGGTAGATGCAGGAGTAGACTGTGGAGTATATGTAATTTAAATAAATGAAAGAAAAAAATGCAAACCTTTTCAGTTGTACTATAAGGTTTTATTACAGTTTGCAATCTTTTATATACAAATTTATGAAAATTTTAGTTTGATTTATGTCAAACCAATTCACTAATATCAATGAAACTAAGTGAAAAGATTAAATCTTTTAGCTTCAAGTATATTGTCCCTGTCTCTTCTTACTCCTCACCTCAAGTGTAAAACTATGCATCAGTGGCATGTCCTCTAAACTGCAGGCTTCTTTTTCCTTCCTGTTTCATGTGACAGACCAAATCTATAAAATTCATTGCTGTCACAATTCATCATAATGATTACCTAAGGCTTAGCATCTCTTGATGGAATGCATATCATATTCATTTCATGACAGGGTTGTAGTTGTTTTAAACATTGGAAAATAAAATTATGCTCAATCTTTTGTGATGTTGTGAAATGTCATGTTCAAAGTTTCTGTTGTGAGAGACTCTTGGCTACTACTGTACCACATCAATGCTTTATTGCTTTATTAAATGCTTTATTCACACAAGGAGAGCTGTTGGTCAGGTTACTTCTTGTTGTGCCATTAACTCTAAAATAGTTATTGAATCAAGTGTTACTTGTGTAGTCAAAACTAAATGTTAAACAGCCCATTAAAATTCATCAGAATGCAGGAAATGGCATCTACATTATTCAAAATTTTCTGGGGGAGAACCCCCAGACCCCCTACCAGTGTGCCCCCCCCCCTCCCCATCACATTAAAAAAAGCTTCTGACATCAATGGTCACCACATTGTTCAAGCCAAGAGCCATTGTCAGCACGGGGGGCTAAAAGCACCTCTAAAGGGCAGATTCAAGAATCCCCCCAATGTAAACTTAAAATGACATGATTTTAATGATAAATAGGTCGTGATCTAAAGTGGGCCACTCTGAGGCTGAAACTCCAAGGCTGAAAATGAGTCTCACTACGGCCCTGGTTGTACATATACAATCTATCTCAAGCAGTTTAAGAGATGTACTGTTAACAAGTTTACTTTAAATGGTATCAGAGAGTCAGAGATTCTTTATTGTCATTCGCACCTCATGTGGTACATGTGGTGGAGCGAAATTATGTACACAGGGTCCCAGTTACATCCAACAATAAAATGTATAAGAAAAACAGTAATAACATCTAAGATATGAACTAAGAAAAACATCAACTAAATATACACTAAGCACTCATAACAAAACATTGAACATCAGCACAAACATGAACATGTCTGTGAGCAGATGTGCACGCATGAACACAACACTGAAACAGATCAGCAGCAACATGATATGGTTTTTCACAGTGATTATTCTAGTTAGAGATTCATGAGTCTAACAGCCTCAGGGTAGAAGCTGTTCCTCAGTCTAGTGGTTCTACACTTAATGCTCCTTAACCTCCTTCCTGAGGGGAGTGGGGCAAAAAGTGTGTGTGCTGGGTGGGTGGGGTCCTTCATGATGCAGGTGGCCCTCTTCCTGCATCTGGAGGTGTAGATGTCTGTGATGGTGGGGAGACTGATTCCAACAGATTTCTGTGCAGCCTTCACCACTCTCTGCAAAGCTTTTCTTTCTGCAGCTGTGCAGCCTCCATGCCACACGTTGACGCTCGAGCACAGGATGCTCTCCTCTGCACACCTGTAGGAGGTGGTGAGGACTGAGCTTCCCAGACCAGCTCGCCTCAGCCGCCTGAGGAAGTAGAGTCTCTAATGAGCTTTCTTGATCAGGCTGGTGGTGTTGTTGCTCCAGCTGAGGTTGTCATTCATGTGTACACCCAAGTACTTGTAGCTGGAGACCACTTCCACCGCAGATCCTCTTATGTTCAGGGGGGGTGTAGATGTTTTTGTTCCTTCTGAAGTCCACAATCATCTCCTTTGTCTTCTTCACATTGATGTGAAAGTTATTTTCTTTGCACCAGCTCTCCAGGTGTTCCACCTCTTGCCTGTAGCTGGACTCATCATTGTTTGTGATGCATCCCACCACCGCTGTATCTGCAAACTTTACAATGTGACAGCCTGGATGGGTAGCTGCACAATCATACGTGAGCAGAGTAAACAGGGATGTGTATGGCATATATGGCAACATTTAAGGTTTTCTTAAGATCCTGCTACATTTCATGAGATAGTTTGGTATCAGAGACCAACAACTCCCAATGACAAGTTCTGCAGTTTGTAGTCAAGTGTTTATTATATTTAAATGATGGTTCTTAATATTGCCGCAGACAGACAAAAATAAAAAACCGTTGAGGACATGCATTTATTTATGTAAATTATCTAAAAGAGATCAAATTTGACCAGTTGACCTCCAGAAGGGACGTCTTTGAGGCTTGAGCTCCTGCTGGAAGTGACATCATCGTGTTGTTGGGACAACAAAGACAGTTACACAACTTGAACGCAAACAAAAGCATTTTCTTGGCTGCAGACTTCATCGTTGACGTGATCTTGTCCTGTGAACAGTAAAGAAATTCAAAACAGAAATTAGAATTACGGGTCTTCCCCTGATTTTTTTTAAATTTTCATCTGAAATGAATAATTAAAAAAACAAACAAAAAAAAAAAAACTGTTAACAGTGGAGGAAGACAAAGTTTTGTCTTCAACACAGAGCCGTGTGTCATAAAGAACGGCCACAAAATATATTGTTTCAGCTAAAGTGACACAAATTAAATCTAATTCTGTCGTTCACACTGGAAGCATCTGTTTAAAGAGCTGTTATCATCTTGTGTACCATCCACGTTGATATCCATGCAGTTCTCGTTTCCACCCAAGTTGTTTGGTTCCCCACTGCCCCAATGAGTGTAGGAGAAGCTGGTGCCATCGCTCCATTTCCACACACCTTCCTATGAAAGGAGGTTTTCAAATGTCAGGTTTTTTCATGCTGATTGTGAAAAAAAAAAAAAAATAAAAAAAAATAAAATTACAGAAAACTCTTCCCACTAGTTAGATTCCTATCTCCTTACCTCTTCTATATCGGTGCCTCCAACCCAAGCTTTTGTATCGGTCCCTGTAGCAGTCACAATGAATCTCCGGATAAAATCGTACTCATCTTGGTTATGAAAGGAGGCCAAATGTCCACCTTCGTCAATGCAGCTTTCCTGTGTGGAAATACGGCAGCATAAACACATCATTACATCTTCATCATTGTGATGAGCTAGTTGTACAGGAGGCAACTATCATGGCAGTAATAACCCATCTGTGAAGTTGCTGATTAAAACTGGTCATCTGCTTTTAGAACTATCAGGTTGGCAACTGATTCAAGCTAAAAATGTCACATCAAAGAACATCCATGACTGATATGCTGGTGAAGATTCTCAGTCATATGCTGGTGAAGATTCTCAGTCATCCAGGACATGATGAATTCAAAAAGCGTTCAATACAAAAACAACTGGACTTCAAAATGGATCAGACCCTCCAGAAGCTGTCTACTCTGCTACCATTTCCTCTGTTGGAAAGGCCCAGCTATCACATCAAAAGAGCAAGGAACGTCAAAAAAGTAAGTTTCTAAAATTACAACAGAGAGCGGTTTTCTCATCACAAACCATCAGTCAAGATCAGGAGGTTTTTGCCAACACTAATTTTCAGGACCAGTGGGTTAGAAATTTGTCTAACAGGACATTGACACAACCTGAGAAAGATGTGCTGGCAAAAGGACTAAATTTTGCCATCTCCCCTCAAGAAATACCTGTTGTGGAACTAATCACGGCCACTGAATCCACGATTAGGAACAACAACTTGACGGAAGGAGAGGCAGAACAGCTCAGAATGGAAATATCAGCAACCCTCTCCAGTGCCAAACCGCCTCCTTCAAACCTCACACCACAGGAAAGGAAAGCTGTAACACTCACTCAGCCAGGACCAAAACATCACCATTTTACCAGCTGATAAAAGGAAGATGCACAGTAGTCCTCAACACTTCTGATTACCGGGAAAAAAAAAAAATAACTACACTACTGAGCGACCGTAACACCTACGAGACCCTGAAGAGGGACCCAACCAGTGCCTACAAAAAGAAAGTCACAGATTACCTGCAAAAACTTGAAAAGGAGAAAATCAATTTTTGTATTATAGATTGTACCCAGGGGAAGCCACTCCCCGTCTTTATGGACTCCCAAAAATACACAAAGGAGGAACACCACTCAGGCCCATCGTCAGCAGCATGAACTCAGTGACATACAATATTGCTAAACATCTGGCTGGTATTTTAGCTCCTCTTGTTGGAAACACACCTCATCACATAAAGAACTCCATTGATTTTGCTAACAAAGTTCAACACTTGTAACCAACTCCAGGAGAAACCCTTGTACCTTATGATGCGACTCCTCTTTTCACATGCATACCCATCTCTGAAGCAGTAGAAACCGTCAGAAAACAACTTCTACAAGACAAGGACTTAACAGGACCAACTTCACCCCAGACCAGATCTGCACCCTGTTGGATCTCTGCCTCTCCACCACTTATTTCAAGTTCAATGACAGTTTTTACAGACAGAAGCACAACTGTGCCATGGGATCTCCAGTGTCACCCATTGTTGCCAATCTCTACATGGAGGAAGTGGAACAGAGAGCCCTACACTCCTATGAGGGAACAAAGCCAAGCCATTGGTTCCGTTATGTGGATGACACCTGGGTCAAAATCCAAGGAAATAGAAGCGTTCACCAGACACATTAACTCGGTCGATAACATCAAGTTCAGAGAGGATGCAAACAACAACAACAACAAGCTGCCTTTTTTGGACTGTTGGTTCAGATGGAGAGAGGACAGCCTCAACATTGAAGTTTACAGAAAACCAACCCACACAGACCAGCATCTTCTGTTTGACTCCCACCATCCACTGGAACACAAACTCTGTCATCAGAACTTTACAACATCGGGCCGAATGCATCCCCACAAAGACAGAAGGGAAGGAAAAGGAACTGAAACGTTCAAGAAGCTCTTCAAACATGTGGATATCCTAACTGGGCTTTTGTCAAGTCAGCGAGGAAATCTACAAAACACACTAATAAACAGAAAAAGGAGAACAACAGACGTAAAAACATTGTCATCCCTTATGTTGCTGGAGTATCAGAGAAATTCAGAAGGATCTTCAACACACACACACACACACACACACACACACACACACAAGTACATTTCAAACCCAGCAGGACTCTCAGACAGAGGCTGGTCCACCCTAAAGACAAAAACACCCATACACAAACCCGAGTGGTGTAGTGTAATGCGGTCCAGTGCAGCTAGGACTGTCCAGACCTCTACATTGGAGAAACTAAACAGCCTCTTCACAGACGCATGACTCACAGGAGAGCCACCTCCTCTGGACAAAATTCTGCAGTTCACCTCCACCTCACAGATAAGGGACACTCTTTTGAGGACCAAAATGTGCACATTTTGGACCGAGAACACAGATGGTTTGAGAGGGGGGTGAAGGAAGCAATTTATGTAAAAAGAGAAAAGCCGTCTCTTAACAGAGGAGGAGGCCTCAGATTTCCACTTTCAAAAACATATAATTCAACTTTAAAACAGATCCCCAGCCGGTTTTCACACCTGATGGGAACAGAGGGGCCTCGACTGTGAATTAGAGGAACAAAGACCTACTGTTTAGGTTTTTAGGTGTGAACTGCCAATCTACATACATGTGTGTGTGTGTGTGTCTTATCTCACTCAGCCTTATAACCTGCATCTTTCACTCTCTGCTCTTTGAATTGAGAAAGCTCCTCGGATGAGGAGCGAAACGTCTTCTGTTACAAATAAAGTCCAGTTGTTTTTGTATTGAACGCTTTTTGAATCCATGACTGATGAAAACATTACTGCCTTAGATCGTTCACAGGGGTCGAAGACAGAGCTTTGTAAAATTGCATTTGGTTCCAACATAAGGAACATTCCGTTTTGCACCATAATATCACAATCAAGAACAAAATATTAAGTAATTGAATATTTAATTTATGTCCAAGGTACATCTAGTAAAACTAACATTTGAAGAAAAAGTCGTTCTTGGTATCCATAGGTCTGCTTCTCAGTTAAAGACTGTAATGAAGTTTTAACTTTATAAACTTTGAACCTAGACCACCATGACACACAAATGCAACGAACAGTTAAACAGTTGTACCTCAGCTGTATCCCAGTTCACTTTAGTACTGTTGAACAGGTAACAGCGTTCTTTATCTGTAGACCATCCAGGAGGGCAGAAGTTACAATCTTTTCCTTCACATGTATCTATACAAACAGAAGAAAAAAAAAGTGGTTTTTAATAAATGTGATAGAAAGAAAATTAGTCAATGGCCAAAGTAAGTTTTTTTTAATAATGGGACACCATCGCATGAACTATAACCATTTATTTATCTGCAGTTCATTTGGTGAGAGATATGAATTATTAAAGACTCCACTTTAGGTTTTGAAGAGAAAGATCAGTGTTCGCATTTTATTTAATTAAAATATACTTTGTAAATTAAAACCACAAGTGTACATTTTGATTTATAAACTGTAGAACTATAAAATTTGAAGGACTAAAAAGTTCATTTTCAAAGAGGTTTGTAAGGTTTAAAGAGCATAAAAGTTGAACATTTTGTGGCAAAGTCTACAAAAAAAAAAACTATAAACTATGATTGTTAAAAATGGTTAAAGATCTTAAAATGCCAGTTTAGACATATAAAGTCCAAGTTTCTGGGTCCCATTTAAATTATGTTTCCACTCTGAAGTTTGTCTGAGATAAACATGGCTGGATTTGATTTAGTCTCATTCGTGTTGCTACCAAAAGTCCTAACAAACGATGGAGTTGCACATCATGATTTATTTATATACAGTATTTTACCTGGGTTTTTTCCTGAACTGTGGGAGGAATAGCAAACCTGTAAGGATGGTGCGCCCTTGTGGTGTGCTTAGCTCCTGCTCTCCCTTGTGTCTCCCTCATGATTAGCCTTCATCTTCCACCTGTTCTTCTCCGGTGTTTTGTGTCTACTCCTCGTTAGTGTGTGTATTTAAGTGTGCATTTTTCTGTTACTCTTCAGCTGGTCTCGTCATGTCCTGGTTTGTCTCCCCGCTCCTACATTCCTTAATGTCTCATAGTAAGTTTTTTGTTGCCACGTCAGCTTTTTGTTTTGTTAAACAAACATTTTAGTTATTTGAATCCTCTGTGGTTTCGGAGTCCTGTCTGCGCTTGGGTTCAACCTGCGCCCAGATCCTAACAAAACCAAAAATCAGAAACTGAATAATAAAGTAACACACATGTGCCATGTTAATTGGGTTCTTCAGTGGTTTTACATTCATGCCTCTATTGATTTTAATCCAATGAAAACAAACTTGGTTTAAAGAACATCTTTGTGGAGCATTTTGTTCAACACAATAAACATTGTGTGGTTTTGTGGATGGCCTAACAAAAAAAGCTTGTTGCTCATAATGTTTGGTGCACTGTTTTTAAAACTTAACCAGAACAATAGGAAAAACACAGACCTGGTTGTGCATCACAAAGTATCTGCGGATGTAAAAAAAGCACAGAGTCAGAAAAAGATTTCAATCCGTTTGTTGTGAGCATGAATGTTGATCACACATGCAACAAAAAGGTGAGGAGTACCAACAATATGTATGCAGAGAATTTCATCCAAGTTTTCTAATACATAATTAAACAAGTCCAATAGCTCCTTTTCTGATCATAAAAAAAGAAACAAATCCATGAAAACCAACACTAAAGTATATTATGTTCGTTTTATTTACGTACAAATTCACTTTTTTTGTAAACTTACATTTCCTCCAATCCCCAGTCCACAAAGGAGCAACAAGAAGAGCAGACTTGATGACATCTGTGCAAACAGAGTTAATTTACAGTTCAGACAGAACCTTGGAGTCAAAATAATTCAATCTACAATATCAATAAAATAATAATGACATGTTTTAAATGGACTGTCACTAAAAGTTTTAAATGTCCTAATACAATGTAGCTTTTGTTGGTTTTGAACATTAACTTCATTTAAACATAAAGGCTTTATAATTAAACTCGTTACTATTATTATACAATAGATAAATATAATCAGATCTAGACTGACTTTTTTTCTTTCTGTATTGATGGAGAAAAAGTCAGATTTTATTTACCTTGTTGTAATGTTTGGTCCAAGCAGCACTAGCAGTAGCAGCAGCACTTGCTGAAAGAAGGATGCTTTAAAAAAGTGAACACAGTGCTTTTATACCTTTACACTGTTGGTGAACCTGTCAGTCAACTGATGGCATGTATTGAGATCAATATTAATGCTGTGTGTGTGTGTGGAGGGGGGTTTGGTTGTCACACCCCTGCCTGAGGTTGTGAGCTGCTGAGATTTGAACCAGTAATGGGAGTGATCGGGGTGGGTCAGGAGGAATGGCCACACTGGAAACCATTTCTCCTCATTGTTATTGTTACAGAACCTCACATTTCCAGTTTTGTTTGTCTCTCCTCACTCAGCAGGTCAGTGCAGGCTGACAATATTAGAGCAGAATTGCTGGTTTGGTTTTCTATGAACTTTCTGAGGCAGGGGTTTTGATTTTGATCTGGATAATGCAACAGTTTGCCCTTTTTGATCATTCTGGGCTTCCTTCCACAAACCTCCAGGCCTTGAGGGCCGGAGTCCTGCAACTTTTAGACGTGTCTCTGATGCAACACAGCTGAATCATATGACTGAATTAGCTTCTCAGTGCAGTCAAGTTCTCCAAAGTCCTGCTAATGACCTCCTTATTTGATTCAGCTGTGTGGCATAAGAGACGCATCTAAAAGTTGCAGGACTCCGGCCCTCGAGGCATGGAGTTTGACACATGTGCCACATGTATTTGTTGTTTTTAGTCTACTGCAGGAAAAATCCTCTTCTCTCCTAAAAGAACATAGCAGCACAAGCATGATCTGTGGGATGCCTGTGGTGCTGAGGATGCTGGATGTATAAGACCACTGGGAATTGAGTAAACCTTTGCACCGACTAGATGTACTGATCTTTTGGACTAAAGCATTCAGCATGAATGATCTATTTGGGTTTCAGATTTATTACAGAGGGAAGCTCCATAATGATGCACAGCAAAGTTGTGTTGAGAGAAAAAAAATCACTAAACTAAGTTATTTACAGAAACAGCTACATTTGTGTAAAGGTGAGATGGCTTTGAAGGTTTATAATGTGACAAAGTGATAACATCAGATCTGTGTACCTGGTGGAGAAAAATATTCTCGCTTTCTCAAGAGGAACCACATTCGACAGCAAGAGAAGATTTTTAACTGGTATTTAGTTGCAAGGCCAAATTTTCAGTACATGTTACATAAATATACATGAAGAACACACATGAAGTCCAGTCATGAGAATCTGCTGTGTGCTGTCTGCTCAGCGTGTTTTTATTCTCTTATCAGTGCTGCCAAACTCACGGACTCGGAGGTGTCCTTGGAGTGTCGGCTGCCTGCTGCAGCCTCACCCAGCTCCTCATCCAGCTCTCTCTGATAACACAAACATATGATTCATGGGCAGAGTAAATATTCTCAGCCATAGTAATTTTTCAACTTAATAATAGTAATAATTCAACTTCCATAGTCTTTGAACAACAATTCCCCAACAGTGCCAACCTGGTTTTACAATGAAACAAGATAAATAAAATTATCACTGATGGAAATGTGATTCAACTGGGTATATAATAATAAATAAAAAAACAGTTAATGACAAAAATAATCTTTAAAATAAACTCATTCATCATGTTTTGAAAACTATACAGAGCAGATGTTCATCACACATTCATTATGTTGAGCTCTACATCAACCCAACTGAGTTCTGCTACACTCTTCTTTTGGCTAGCTTCATATCTGAAAACCTTCGTCTGTGTGGAACGTGGCCGGCTCCATCTGTGATTTATGTATGGCCAGAGGCAGCTTAAAGATAAACTGGTTCGTGCAGCCATGTCAGGGAATTGTTTTGTTGAAGAGCCTTGTCAAGTCAGGATCTAAAAAACAGAAACTACTTCAATAAGTGGTCCAGTTACAAGAGGGAAGAACTCAAAGTGTGATACTTTGTAAAATGCAAGTGTTGATAAGATCTTCACACTGAATGATGAAGCCACTAGACTTTTCTCAATCTTCTAAAAAATCACAACTCACCTTCTGGATTAAAGCTGCTGGTTGGCTGGCCTGAACAAAATCTGGTCCAAACAGAAAGACCCAGCAGTTGGGTCAGAGATGAACTGTCACATTTTTCACAGTCTGCTCTGTTAATATATTTAGTTTGACCCTAATCTAATATGTTGGTCAAACTGATTACCTGCTGAGGTAGAATCATCCAGGGTTGGCTTGGTCCAAACTTTCCCCAGCGCTGGGATCCAAAGTGGACTGTATTTAACTTAGCTGATTGGCAACCTCTTTATGCTGATGTTCTAGGTTCTAGAAAAACTGATAAACTCTCAAATGAAAAATTACCTGGACTCATTTAACATCTTACCTCGCCATCAATCTGGTTTCAGGAAACAACATGGCACAACCACTGCTTCACTGAAGGTTCTTAATGACGTTGTTGAAGCACTGGATGTGAAGGATTATAGTGCTGCACTTTTCTCAGACCTGTCTAAAGCTTTTGACACTGTGGATCAGAACATCTTGTGTCATAAGCTCTCAGAAATCGGTTTCTCAGATTACACCATTGGATGGTTCTCTAACTATCTCTTAGACCGGAGGCAATGTGTTCAACATAATGGTAGTTCCTGATGCATGCTCAATAATCCAGGTAGAAAAATCCAAAAAAGTTCAATCTGGTCCTCTGGACATTAAAAAAAAAAAAAAAAAAAAACAAAGCAAAAAATATATAGAAATGTTTCGTTTCTCATCCGAGAGACTTCCTCAGTCTGAGGTGCTGTTTTCAGCCCAGTCTCTTAAATAGCACCTTCTCAGAGTGGATCAACCAGTTTGCTGCTGACAACCAAAACCAGCTGATCACATGCACAAGAAGGACCATCAGCCTAACAATGGATCATTAGCACACTGATGGCTGTTTACTGTTCACAGAGGGCTGAGTGATACTAGCAATCACAGCATTGTAAGAGGGGGACAATTGAACCCGGAGGCCTCCACCCCTGTTTAACGATGGACGGTTTCTTTTCACAAAGATGGCCTCCTTTACTCCTCTCTCAAACCATCGTTCCTCTCTGTCCAGGATGTGCACATCTTCATCCCTGAAAGAGTGACCGCTGGCCTGGAGATGAGTGTAGACCAGAGTCCTGGCCTGATGATGTTGATCTTCTGTGCTGGGCCATCCTTTTGGCCAGTGGCTGTTTAGTTTCCCTGATGTAAGACTGATCACAACCCTCCTGACACTGAATAGCATACACAATATTACTCTGTTTGTGCCGGGGGACTGGATCTTTGGGATGAACCAGTCTTTGTCGTAAGGTATTTTGGGGTTTAAAAGCCACTGGGACGTTATGTTTAGAAAATAAACATCTCAGTTTCTCTGATACTCCCTCAACATACGGAATGACCACTGGTCTGGGTCTGGGTTCCTTCTTTTCACCTGATGGCTGACTGGAGTCCTGTTTGGGTTTCTTCTCTGCTTTAAGGAAGGCCCAGTTAGGATATCCACATTGCTCTAGAGCCTGTCTTGTGTGGGATTTCTCCTTCTGCCTGGCTCCTGAGTTAGTGGGGATGCTGTCTGCTCTGTGGTACAGAGTCCTGATGACTCCTAACTTGTGCTCCAAAGGGTGATGGGAGTCAAACTGCAAATACTGGTCTGTGTGGGTGGTGTTGTGGATAGAATACCACGTCGTGTTCAAAACGGCGGAGGCGTCGCCCTTCATATAAAAGATTTATTTGACACAACATGGGTTACAGATATTCAGAGAC